TCTACCTTCCGCCCATATTTTGAGAGAATTCCCAAACTCGATTTTGGGAGCTTTTGCTCTGGGTGGATTCGATTTTTCACCCCAGAATGTAGACGTGAGTGCGAGAGTGACATTGCGAAAGAAAGTTGTACAACGGTGAGGGGGCAAAACAATATTTTAGAGCGATGTGGTCTACCTTCCGCCCATATTTTGAGAGAATTCCCAAACTCGATTTTGGGAGCTTTTGCTCTGGGTGGATTCGATTTTTCACCCCAGAATGTAGACGTGAGTGCGAGAGTGACATTGCGAAAGAAAGCTGTACAACGGTGAGGAGGCAGAACAATATTTTAGAGCGATGTGGTCTACCTTCCGCCCATATTTTGAAAGAATTCCCAAAAATCTCGCTTTTGGGAGCTTTTGCTCTGGGTGGATTCGATTTTTCACCCCAGAATGTAGACGTGAGTGCGAGAGTGACATTGCGAAAGAAAGTTGTACAACGGTGAGGGGGCAAAACAATATTTTAGAGCGATGTGGTCTACCTGCCGCCCATATTTTGAGAGAATTCCCAAACTCGATTTTGGGAGCTTTTGCTCTGAGTGGATTCGATTTTTCACTCCAGAATGTAGGCGTGAGTGCGAGAGTGACATTGCGAAAGAAAGTTGTACAACGGTGAGGGGGCAAAACAATATTTTAGAGCGATGTGGTCTACCTTCCGCCCATATTTTGAGAGAATTCCCAAACTCGATTTTGGGAGCTTTTGCTCTGGGTGGATTCGATTTTTCACTCCAGAATGTAGGCGTGAGTGCGAGAGTGACATTGCGAAAGAAAGCTGTACAACGGTGAGGAGGCAAAACAATATTTTAGAGCGATGTGGTCTACCTTCCGCCCATATTTTGAGAGAATTCCCAAACTCGATTTTGGGAGCTTTTGCTCTGGGTGGATTCGATTTTTCACTCCAGAATGTAGGCGTGAGTGCGAGAGTGACATTGCGAAAGAAAGCTGTACAACGGTGAGGAGGCAGAACAATATTTTAGAGCGATGTGGTCTACCTTCCGCCCATATTTTGAAAGAATTCCCAAAAATCTCGCTTTTGGGAGCTTTTGCTCTGGGTGGATTCGATTTTTCACCCCAGAATGTAGACGTGAGTGCGAGAGTGACATTGCGAAAGAAAGTTGTACAACGGTGAGGGGGCAAAACAATATTTTAGAGCGATGTGGTCTACCTTCCGCCCATATTTTGAGAGAATTCCCAAACTCGATTTTGGGAGCTTTTGCTCTGGGTGGATTCGATTTTTCACCCCAGAATGTAGACGTGAGTGCGAGAGTGACATTGCGAAAGAAAGCTGTACAACGGTGAGGAGGCAGAACAATATTTTAGAGCGATGTGGTCTACCTTCCGCCCATATTTTGAAAGAATTCCCAAAAATCTCGCTTTTGGGAGCTTTTGCTCTGGGTGGATTCGATTTTTCACCCCAGAATGTAGACGTGAGTGCGAGAGTGACATTGCGAAAGAAAGTTGTACAACGGTGAGGGGGCAAAACAATATTTTAGAGCGATGTGGTCTACCTGCCGCCCATATTTTGAGAGAATTCGCAAACTCGATTTTGGGAGCTTTTGCTCTGAGTGGATTCGATTTTTCACTCCAGAATGTAGGCGTGAGTGCGAGAGTGACATTGCGAAAGAAAGTTGTACAACGGTGAGGGGGCAAAACAATATTTTAGAGCGATGTGGTCTACCTTCCGCCCATATTTTGAGAGAATTCCCAAACTCGATTTTGGGAGCTTTTGCTCTGGGTGGATTCGATTTCTCACTCCAGAATGTAGGCGTGAGTGCGAGAGTGACATTGCGAAAGAAAGCTGTACAACGGTGAGGAGGCAAAACAATATTTTAGAGCGATGTGGTCTACCTTCCGCCCATATTTTGAGAGAATTCCCAAACTCGATTTTGGGAGCTTTTGCTCTGGGTGGATTCGATTTTTCACTCCAGAATGTAGGCGTGAGTGCGAGAGTGACATTGCGAAAGAAAGCTGTACAACGGTGAGGAGGCAGAACAATATTTTAGAGCGATGTGGTCTACCTTCCGCCCATATTTTGAGAGAATTCCCAAACTCGATTTTGGGAGCTTTTGCTCTGGGTGGATTCGATTTTTCACCCCAGAATGTAGACGTGAGTGCGAGAGTGACATTGCGAAAGAAAGTTGTACAACGGTGAGGGGGCAAAACAATATTTTAGAGCGATGTGGTCTACCTGCCGCCCATATTTTGAGAGAATTCCCAAACTCGATTTTGGGAGCTTTTGCTCTGGGTGGATTCGATTTTTCACTCCAGAATGTAGGCGTGAGTGCGAGAGTGACATTGCGAAAGAAAGCTGTACAACGGTGAGGGGGCAAAACAATATTTTAGAGCGATGTGGTCTACCTTCCGCCCATATTTTGAGAGAATTCCCAAGCTCGATTTTGGGAGCTTTTGCTCTGAGTGGATTCGATTTTTCACTCCAGAATGTAGGCGTGAGTGCGAGAGTGACATTGCGAAAGAAAGCTGTACAGCGGTGAGGAGGCAAAACAATATTTTAGAGCGATGTCGTCTACCTTCCGCCCATATTTTGAGAGAATTCCCAAGCTCGATTTTGGGAGCTTTTGCTCTGAGTGGATTCGATTTTTCACCCCAGAATGTAGACGTGAGTGCGAGAGTGACATTGCGAAAGAAAGCTGTACAGCGGTGAGGAGGCAAAACAATATTTTAGAGCGATGTGGTCTACTTTCCGCCCATATTTTGAGAGAATTCCCAAACTCGATTTTGGGAGCTTTTGCTCTGGGTGGATTCGATTTTTCACTCCAGAATGTAGGCGTGAGTGCGAGAGTGACATTGCGAAAGAAAGCTGTACAACGGTGAGGAGGCAGAACAATATTTTAGAGCGATGTGGTCTACCTTCCGCCCATATTTTGAGAGAATTCCCAAACTCGATTTTGGGAGCTTTTGCTCTGGGTGGATTCGATTTTTCACCCCAGAATGTAGACGTGAGTGCGAGAGTGACATTGCGAAAGAAAGTTGTACAACGGTGAGGGGGCAAAACAATATTTTAGAGCGATGTGGTCTACCTGCCGCCCATATTTTGAGAGAATTCCCAAACTCGATTTTGGGAGCTTTTGCTCTGGGTGGATTCGATTTTTCACTCCAGAATGTAGGCGTGAGTGCGAGAGTGACATTGCGAAAGAAAGCTGTACAACGGTGAGGGGGCAAAACAATATTTTAGAGCGATGTGGTCTACCTTCCGCCCATATTTTGAGAGAATTCCCAAGCTCGATTTTGGGAGCTTTTGCTCTGAGTGGATTCGATTTTTCACTCCAGAATGTAGGCGTGAGTGCGAGAGTGACATTGCGAAAGAAAGCTGTACAGCGGTGAGGAGGCAAAACAATATTTTAGAGCGATGTCGTCTACCTTCCGCCCATATTTTGAGAGAATTCCCAAGCTCGATTTTGGGAGCTTTTGCTCTGAGTGGATTCGATTTTTCACCCCAGAATGTAGACGTGAGTGCGAGAGTGACATTGCGAAAGAAAGCTGTACAGCGGTGAGGAGGCAAAACAATATTTTAGAGCGATGTGGTCTACTTTCCGCCCATATTTTGAGAGAATTCCCAAACTCGATTTTGGGAGCTTTTGCTCTGGGTGGATTCGATTTTTCACTCCAGAATGTAGGCGTGAGTGCGAGAGTGACATTGCGAAAGAAAGCTGTACAACGGTGAGGAGGCAGAACAATATTTTAGAGCGATGTGGTCTACCTTCCGCCCATATTTTGAGAGAATTCCCAAACTCGATTTTGGGAGCTTTTGCTCTGGGTGGATTCGATTTTTCACCCCAGAATGTAGACGTGAGTGCGAGAGTGACATTGCGAAAGAAAGTTGTACAACGGTGAGGGGGCAAAACAATATTTTAGAGCGATGTGGTCTACCTGCCGCCCATATTTTGAGAGAATTCCCAAACTCGATTTTGGGAGCTTTTGCTCTGGGTGGATTCGATTTTTCACTCCAGAATGTAGGCGTGAGTGCGAGAGTGACATTGCGAAAGAAAGCTGTACAACGGTGAGGGGGCAAAACAATATTTTAGAGCGATGTGGTCTACCTTCCGCCCATATTTTGAGAGAATTCCCAAGCTCGATTTTGGGAGCTTTTGCTCTGAGTGGATTCGATTTTTCACTCCAGAATGTAGGCGTGAGTGCGAGAGTGACATTGCGAAAGAAAGCTGTACAGCGGTGAGGAGGCAAAACAATATTTTAGAGCGATGTCGTCTACCTTCCGCCCATATTTTGAGAGAATTCCCAAGCTCGATTTTGGGAGCTTTTGCTCTGAGTGGATTCGATTTTTCACCCCAGAATGTAGACGTGAGTGCGAGAGTGACATTGCGAAAGAAAGCTGTACAGCGGTGAGGAGGCAAAACAATATTTTAGAGCGATGTGGTCTACTTTCCGCCCATATTTTGAGAAAATTCCCAAAAATCTCGCTTTTGGGAGCTTTTGCTCATTGGCCTAGTATGAAAAAAATTTCGGGACAACTGCATGTGTCGCGCAGCATTATTACGAAAAAATGCAGTCGTCCCGGTTTTCTCGTCAATTTAGTTATGTCCCGTAGTCATACCATCGAAACTACCGTCAAAACACGCGAATTTCGTCGGCGAGACAACTGCGATCTAAGTACGTAACGATTCGTAAACGGATGCTTGGCGTCTGAGCAGAGAATAACCTCATGATTGGTGGTGAAATTGATAGTGACTGGAATTCACTTATCATTTATCCTGCATCCGTGCCTGCTACAATTATGACGATGATATTTTCTGCCTATTGGGTTTTAGTCAGTTTTATGACTTCACATCCGTTTTCTTTTTCTTTGAACGTAAACTGGTTTGGAGGTACTTGAATGAGTGAAGTGCTTAAACTTACTCGTAAAATCAAGCACTAACTTACAATATTGACAAATACATTTATCACGATTGCTCAGTAAGCTACAAAGCAGTAAGCAGTAATTGACCCGAAACGGAAATCACATTTGAAGTATTGAGTAAAGCAACACAAAAAATTTCACATCAATTAACATTGAATATATAAACTAATTTATTGAACACTCATACTGTCAAATCTACCCGTGATAGAGGTGCATCCTTGACATTACGCCATCGCTGAGCTGATCAGCATTTCACCTTGTCTGGACCAATCGCAGAAGATGAAGTGACGCAATAACATGCGGTATTTCTCCGAGAACAGCATGTACACGCATATGTTACAAGACGCATTCACCATAACCTGAAGAAGCGAATAATGGCTTAAGAATAACGTACCGATTAAGGCATTAGCAATCATGACTGCAAATTTCTACTTCTCCAGAAGAATTCTGATGCACATATTTGATATGTCAAATATATATGTGTTCAACATATATGTTCTGCCTAGTCAGAGGCGGTCTTTTCATCCAACGTTTCAACACGTTTCACCAACATCAAGGCAAATGAGCCTTCATGGATCCTAAATTCCATACTTCAAATTCTTCGCGTATAGTCTGAGGCGCATTCAAAAACATAAAATAACTACAATCTTATCCGCAAAGACTATGAAAAACAAAAAAAATTTTTTTAGAAGTAGGAGAAAAAGCTGCATTAAATGAAATTCAAGTTGCTCGCAGGTTGCTGTTCTATGAGGTTTGAGTTGAGTGTGCTGCAGTTATCTGCAATGTCACTGTCAATGTCTCTTGCCCAAAAACAAAAGAGCAGGGCGAATATAGTCCCTTTGAAAGGGACCAGGGACTATTTGGGCGCGAAATTTTCGAAGTTCCAAGATTTTGTGACAAAGTTTGAAATTTGTCGAAAGAACTCTTAGGTTTTTTTCCCCACTGGGGAATTCCTACTTTTGCCGATAAAGGAAAAGCAGGGCGAACATGGCCTCCTTGCAAAGGACCAGGGACTTTATGGGCGCGAAATTTTCATATTTTTTTTCTCACTGAAGAATTCCTACATCTGCCCAAAAACAAAAGAGCAGGGCGAACATGGTCCCCTTGAAAGGGGCCAGGGACTTTATGGGCGCGAAATTTTCGAAGTATCAAGCTTTTTCAAACTAACTTTAAAATTTTTTTCCCCACTGGGGAATTCCTACTTTTGCCCATAAAAGAAAAAGCAGGGCGAACTGGTCCCTTTGAAAGAGACCGGGGACTTTATGGGCGCAAAATTTTCAAAGTTTGATATTTGTCGAAAGACCTTTAAGTTTTTTTTCTCACTCACAAATTCCTACTTTTGCCCAAAAACAAAAGAGCAGGGCGAATATGGTCGCGCTGACAGGAAAGACTAGGGGCTCTATGAGACATGAACTTTTTTTAAAGGAACTCCAAGGGCTCACAAACGAACTCTTGAGAAAAATCTTTAGGTTTCTTTTCCCACTGATGAATTCTTTGCCCAAAAACAAAAGAGCAGGCGAATATGGTCCCCTTGAAAGGGACCAGGGACTTCATGGGCGCGAAATTTTCGAATTTTCAAGGTTTTCAAAGTTTGATATTTTTTGAAAGAACTGGTTTTTTTTCACTGAGAAATTCCTACTTTTGCCCAAAAAGAAAAGATGAGGGGAATATGGTCTCGCTGGCAAAAAAAGACTATGGGCTCTATGGGGCACGAACTTTTTTTTTAAAAACTTCAAGGGCTGACAAACAAACTCTAGAGAAGAACTCTTTTAGTTTTTTTTTTCACTGAAAAATTCATACTTTTGCGCAAAAAGAAAAACAGCAGGGCGAATATGACCTCCTTGCAAAGGACCAAGGACTTTATGAGCGCAAAATTTTCATAGTTTTTTTCACTGAGAAATTCCTACTTTTGCCCAAAAACAAAAGAGCAGGGGAATATGGTCTCCATGGAAAGGGCCAGACTATATCGGGCACGAACATTTTTCAAAAGAACTCCAAGATCTCACAAACAATCTACTTTTAGGTTTTCCCACTGAAAAATTCCTACTTCTGCCTAGAAAGGAAACAGCAGGGCGAACACGGTTCCCTTGGAAGGGGCCAGGGACTTTATAGGCTAAATTTTCAAAGTTCCAAGGTTTTAGAGACAAAGTTTAGAATTTGTCGAATGGACTTTCAGTTTTTTCGCTAAGGATTTCCTACTTTTGCCCAAAAAGAAAAGAGCAGGGTGAACGAGGTCTCGCTGGCAGGAAAGACGAGGGACTTCATGCGGCTTCAAATTTTTCTTAAAATCCCAGTTTTTCACAGACAATCTATTAAAATCTATTGAAAGATGCTTGCATTCAACTAAACTAACAAAAATTCTACTTCTGCTCCCAAAAAAAAGAAAAAAACAGGGTCAACTTGGTTTCGCTGGCCGGAAGGAGAGGGACTCCATGCGGCAGGAATTTACATTAAACTCAGGATGGTCACAGTAAAACTCAAAAAAGAAGATACCCTTGGGTTCTTCTAGCCTGAGAAGTCCTACTGTTGCTCCCTCCCCCCCCCCCCTCCCCCTCCTTTTGAGCTTGGTATGAAAGACGGACTGGCTTATACTTATTTGCGAGCTATTCCCAAAGAAACTTTTTTCTTTGAAAATATTTTTTGTGAAATTTGGTGAGAGCTGCTCTCAGTGGATTTGTATACTTGAAGATAGCCCAAAGATTTTACTGCAAATTGTCTTGCGGAAAAATTCTTGCTCTTGATACAAGTTTTTAATAATACCCTGGAAGATTCCACTTTGGCAATGTGCAAATCTCATTTTCGCTGGAAAAAGACGACTTGATAATAATTGCAGCAGGACACGAAATACCTTTAGCACTTAATTTCTGCAAATTTTTTGACTACTCTGAAAAATTGTTTTTGCCCCTAGGAATGAGAAGTGCAATTCCGGTCTCGCTGGCGGCTCGACAATCAGGGTCCGGCACGAGGTGGGCAAACGGGGTTTTCCAAAACCAATTCCCTTTGATCCCAATAATTTTACGAATACCCCCTTGAGTCCAAAAAAGATGCTTTGTGCTTGTGCAACGAGAGCACCGGCCACACTTCGCCTAAAAGCGCTCAAAAGCGCCCAAAATGCACAAATTCCTCTAATTACTGCTCACCTTATCAAGATAGAAAACAGGAAGAAGAATAAGCAGGAAAATGATGAAGGAACGGAAAAATATCAAAGTAACGCAGAAAAGTACTGAGAGACGCCGTTCGCGCGTATCGATTGGCTGGGATTGACCGATTGACTGTTTTCCATCTTAGAAAGCTAGGGTGCTGATGCGATTTTGGGCTCTAACAAAGAAAAGAGGAGGAGTTTCGGAACCAAAATTTCACCATGTAGTAAATTTTAGATGTACAACAAATTTATGTAAATTTGAAAAACTTACGTGGATTGAAAGTTTTGCCCACCTCAGGTGGGCATTAGGTGGGCAATTTCCCACCCAATTTGGAAAATAGTTGGGCACATTCTTCATTCACATAAGTTTTTCATAATTCTTTATACATTGTTCCTTAGAACTACTGCGCGTATACACACCAAGTCTCGCGCGATTTCGCTTTCTCTGCGCTGCAAACGAGCCATTTCTGCATTTTCTTAATAGTGGGAAATTTTTAGAAAAAAGCTTGCCACAACCGTCACATAAATTTCCAATGAAACTTCTAAGTGAAACCCTGCAGGCCCGTGTTCATGTACCTACCAAGTTTCATACTGTATGGTCATCTGCGCGCTGCAAACGAGCCATTGAATTCACTCTTCATTTGCCAGTTTTGCAAAATTTTTAGAAAAAATGCTTAATGCACCTCCCATTCAAGTTTTTCATAATATTTCATACTTTGTTTCTACTAGGCTCTCTTCGTTCGCTTACGTAATTTGGTGCTATATCGTTACGCCTGCATTGAGAATTAATCATGTAATCATGCTGTTCAACGGCATCGCTTATGCGACGTCGCGCGCGCGGCAATTAGCGGCGGCGCGGCGTAGCGCGCGCAAAGTCTGCTGTGCGTTGAGGCTTATGAAAACTACATTCCAATGAATTAGATGTACAGAGCTTATCAAATGCAGTGTCGATTGCATCAACATCTCCACTCCCGCACTGGAGTTTGCGTCTTTTCCATAAACATGCTCTCCAATCACTTTCAATCGATTGAGGCTCCGCCTTTCCCACGCTCGCCTCGGGAAAGTGATCAGAGAGCATGTTTGCGAGAGAGATGCTAGTTCAGCGCGGCAGTGAAGATGCTGATTCAAGCGACATTTCGTTGATAAGTCCTGTATAAGGTAATAAGCATGATTCGACCTTCTTTTGCTTGCACCTAGAATCTTTTTACGGGGCTTCGCCCCGGACCCTGCAAAAACGATTTCCCCTTGCTTTTTCCACCAATAACGATTTCCAGCTTGTCATTTGCCCACCTCGTGCCGGATCCTGTCGACAATTCTACTATAGAATGCTTTTACGAAAAAAAATTTTCAAGTTTGATTTCTTAAAAATCGTTAAATCTGTGAAAAAATTCCACTTCTGCTCTCAGGTTTGCAGTGTAAACTTTGGTTTTGCTGAGAAGCACAAAATGGTTTATGAGACAAGACAGATTACAAAGCTTTTCATTTTGCTTTCGATGAAGATGCTGAAGATGCTTTTGATGCTTTTGATGCTTTTTTGCATGGTCTCTTACGGATTTGTAAAACAAATCCTGTATTCTTTATAAGAAGAGCTTGTGAAGGAAATATAGGTGCTCTTCTCACAAAAGAAATTAGGGGGTACCTAAAGGGTTCCGCGAAATCTGGAAGGTCACTTTGAAATAGCGTCTGAAAGTGAGGGAATTTCTTACAATTTCAATTTGGATTATCAACAAGAAAGGGATTCCGTCTCACTTCTGGCCGGATTTTCTAAAATTTAGAAGGAAGTGCTTGCACTGTATAATTTCGAGTGGGAGGAGGTCCTTTCACTTTTCGCAAGAAGGCCTCGGAGCATCAAAGAAATTTATATGCAAGGATGGATTTTGTATTATTATAAAGTCTCTGTTTGTTTAGTAAGAGAACTAAAGGATGCTCAAGGGGCTCCGTTTTTTGACAGAAATTCAGAGTTGTAAGAAAGGATCTTTTGTTAGAACTTTCAACGATATGAAAGAAATGGCGGTAGTTTAGGCAAAGTGTTTTCTAATGGGTGCATGTTGCTCATTGAGAGAACATTATAGAAAACATTTTTTGGCATCGCTTGGGACTGGAGAGATGTAAAAAATACGGCGATACTTTTAACAGAGTTTCAGATGTGTGAAAGGCTCCGTATCTTCTCTGGTAGGAAGCCGCGAGGTCCAGAAAAGTTTAGAACTGTGCAGATTTTTGGGAAGGTTTAGAAAATGTTGTATTTTTGATAGGAAAGCTTTGGAGGCATTGAGCGGGTTCCGCGTCCTTTTGAGAAAGGCAGAGGCCTTGAAGTATCATAGTTATTTGCATGTGCATGAAATTTCAGAATTACAAAAATTCCACTACTCCCGGAAAAGTATCCAATAGATTTCGCTTGGGTATTTACTAGATTTCGCTTCACTTTTGAAAAAACCTTGTAGTAGCAAAACCTTTGGATTCATTACAAGGGTTTTTGCAGTGAAAAAAGTGACGGCGGTCCTAAAGTGGGACTGAGGGGCGTTTTGCGAACTCTGTGTTATCTGAGGAAAAGATTGAATAAAAAAGGGAAATATATACCACTAGAAAATTTGAGGATGTAAAGGAAAGGCTGTCTTGTAGGAAAACTTTATTAATCAAGGTTATCGACAGAAGCGCTAAAGTGCGAAAGGAATTTAAATCCAATGCATGGACTTCTGGGGAAATGAAAAGAATTCATAACCTTGTTGAAACTTCAGGGGAGCGCACTTAAATTTTCATCACTTTGCAAAGGAAGCCTTGTTTGGAAAAAATTGGCAGAACTTTCCGAATAACCCATAATAATCCGATATAACTTTGGTCAGACTATTAATGCTCAAAAACAACGCCGCATATTTTCAATAGTTTCGTTTGTTACTGTGCCGTAAGCTGCAACATGAAACAAATTTTTTTTCCAAATGTCTTTTTTTGAAGGTCATCATTTAGTAGTATCCAGTGTTTGAGAAACGAGAGCCTATTGTTAGTGTGCAAATAAGTGTAGTCTTGACTCACTATTGTATTGGCCTCAACCCACTTGCTAGCGACCCGTAGGGTCGCTAGTCTTATATATAAAGCTGAATGTGTGCATGTATGTAAGTCTGTCTGTATGTATGTGCGGGATAGAAATTTTTATTTCTGAACCGATTTCGACCAAACTTGGCAAACATATGCTTCAAGGCGGGTAGCGTGTCATAGGCTACTTCTCGTTATCGATCGATATCGATTTTATCGATTTTTATCGATTTTTTTTGCAGAGTTCACCTACGGGGTCGGTAGTTGGCATAGGGGAATAATCGAGAGCATGCTGATTACGAATACAATATTGGTTTTTAGAAACATCCGTTACTTTTATCGATTTTATCGATTTTTTTGCAAAGTTTGAGCTACGGGGCTGGGAGTTGGCATAGGGGGGTAATCGAGCATGCTGATTACGAATACAATATTAGTTTTTGAAATCGTCCATTACTTTTATCAATTTTATCGACTTTTTGCGAAGTTTGAGTTACGGGGCTAGAGGTTGGTGAGGAAGGTAGGTGAGCATACTGATTACTAACACAACGGGAATAGGGAATTTCAAGCAAAAGTGGGCACAGGGAAAGGTTGCACAGGGGTAGGAATGGAACCTTTATCGTTTTGACAGAACCGGGCGGAGCCGGGTAAGCCAGCTAGTATATATATAACTCAAGCACTACACCTTTGTTTATTAGGATGTTTGTCGCTTATAGGCTCCTTTGTACGTAAACCGAAGGGACTGAAGTTTATTCCCCTATAAATGAGACACGGAGCAAAAGATAGGCTGCTTTTTCGCCTTTTCGTTGGGTCTTTCTATCGATTTATTGATTTGTTTACTTACATCTAGGAAAATGAAAGCATATCAATCATTTTAAGTTTAGTAGTATTAAGGGGCGATAGAGATCATTAAGATTTTGCGGTGAGGAGGATGCGGTGTCACGAAGCGAGGCTGTCGAGGGGGAAGGCGATTTTACCAAGGTACTAGAGGAGCGCTGCAGTTAACTCGGACTGAGGCAGGAGAAAAGAAAAGATACAAATTGGAAGAAATGAAGAAATGGTAAGCCATAAGAGGATTTGGAACAGACTCTACGCCACGCAGCGGACCCGCGGCCCGGGCGGGACCGGGGAGCGCAGCTAGTATTAGCTATAGCAGAATCCACACGTTATCTCAGTTCCCAAACATACAAAAATGATGCTCACAAAATCATCTCATTAAGTGGGAACTCACCAACAAATTATTGAATGTCACCATACTTTGATAAACGGGACCAACCTAAAACTTTTTTCTAATTTCGTATTAGTATGTTTGCGAGAAATGAATACACTTGTTATGTATGCACTTACTTCGTCCAAATTCTCCATGATATTGCAGACAAATGCCAATGTATTGCATGAAATAAACAAGAGCACGATGGCGATGAGCATAATCGAGGTTTGCCGCTCCTTACGTTCCGCCTTTTTGGAAAACTCGTCATTTTCGTTGCCGCACTATAACGACAAGCGTGATTTTTAAGCCCACGTACATCTCCTTTTTTGTAGGTCTAGAAGGAGTGTGTTAAGAGACGCTATACATTTTGATGCTCTAAATCCTACATCATACATGGGTGGCGACCGCACGGAACCCAGGTGCACGTTAGCTTTTTCAAACTTAACAAAACGCCGAAGAATGCTGGAATTTAGACAGTGGCATACTTGAGATAGAACTAGTTGGCATAACAGAACAACGAAATCCGCTGAACTACTCTTGTGAGAGGAAATTATCAAAAAGTTCTAATTTTTACATTTGATCTGTCCTACGTATAACATGCACAACAAAGAATGGTCAGAACTCACCCCAGCCATTCAAAACGAGCTGTAATCAAACTCCTCTTGAAACGCTTTTACAAATTCATGTCTATAGTCGTCCTCACCTCACTAGCCGGTTCAGTGGACGAATTCGAATTCGAGCTGGAGCAGGCCGGTCGCGGCGGAGCGCGGCACCTCAGTCCTCAGTTCAAATTTTCGCTATTTATTCCAATGTCTTCTTGCCTTTGATTGGTAATTCGTGTATTTTGACAAAGTTCTTGAACAAAATTGACGTCTTGTTATTATTAAGCGTCGTTTCTGGCTGCTGTGCTCGGTTTTTGTTTGAGTGGGCTTTGAGAAACGATAGAGATGGCGATTATGACATACAATTCACCACTATAGCAGTAATTCTGCACTCATTACTTACGAAGAAAAGACTTACAGCAGATCCTTCTATCATTTCTCCAAGTTATCTGTATACAGTGTTGAAGTTATGAGCTTAGCAAAACGAAAACAACGCTCGACCAGAACAAGATGTTTTATTTTGCTAGCGTACATACCTCGCGTTGCAAAGATTAACAAACAAGTAATGAGGATAATGATAAAAACATGCATAAATTTGAACTGAAGGCTGAGGTGCCGCGCTGCGCCGCGACCGGCCTGCTCGAGTTCAAATTCGAATTCGCCCACCGACCGACTAGTGGGTTGAGGACGACTATACTATCTTCCGATCGACTATCTTGAAGGGTTATGGGCACTCAAATGTGAAGTTTGGCACATATTCTAAAGCGCCTCTTAAACGAAGAACGTTCCAAAAACATAACCTAGGCTCTTGTACTAGAATATTCAAAATCACTACAACTGAGCTCCGTCAGAGCCTTTCAACGAAATACATTCATTAAGACTTGAATGATTTCGTCAGTTCAGAAGCTCATAATTCCTTCAAATAGTCGTTTGGACGATAACCAACGTATGCGTGATATCAGGCTCTTAAGGCGAGTTGATATCAGCTTACACCTTGTTCGGTATAGGCCGTCCGCGCTGTGCTCGGAGAGTAACGCTGTCGCGTACAGTGAAGATAGTACGGGCACAGAGAAAACATGCGGCGAAAGTGCGCGGGGAAAGAGGAGCGACGCGCAGTGCACACCTTGCGCACTCTCCGCGCCCTGCGCGGACGCCTATATGGCTGGGTTGACTTCTGACCATTTCCTCGTCAGCACTGTCGGGTTAGATTTTCAGCTCGTGTTCACCCTTTAATTATCATAGTCTCGTTGATATGCAAGATAAAGTGCACATATACGTTCCTGGAAAGTGAGTCCCAAAATTTCAGGGGAGGGAGGAGGGGAAATTTTTGAATTTTTTTAGGGAACCCACCTTTTCCAGGCTCATAACCCAAAAATCAAAGAAGAAGTAGGCGTGATGCAGCCGCGCCCGCAAGAAAATTTTACAAGACAATTCAAATTTTCAAAGAATTTACAAAGTTATTTTGATTATTTACAAGTGCAAAAAAGCCAGCTGCACATTTCTGTAAATCATATAAGTTTTCAAAAATTTAGCGACCCGTTCTCGGAGGTATCTGAACTTACGCTCAGTGCATACATATGCCTTGCCTTGCATTTTACATATGCCTTGTTTTCTGCCAAGATCACCCAAATTTGAAATGTCGGTAAAAAACGCGGGCTAGTAATTAGTTAGAACAAGTCAGTGACAATCCTTGGATAAGTGGAACTAAGCTTCTCACCATTGCAAAGCCATTTTCTTCAATCAAGAATGTACTGAAACCGGACTAAAGCAGATGCTTTGCTTTTGGAAACTACTTACAGATTACGTAGTAATCTGAATTTGATACGAAATGAGTGGGAGCTGCATTTTGAAACGTTCATGTCTTTCCGTTCGGTCAAGCGTTTCCCTTTGTAAGCTTGCTATGCGTACACGGCCCAACACTAAGGTAGCAGACTAACATCGATGAAACGATTTCGCCTTTGCCACTATCGATTTTTCCGATTTCCCACTTGATCTCTCCAGGTGCTTGGGTTGTTCCATTGAAGCGGCTTTTTCACTATTCCGGACCCTAACAAGAGGAGAGAAGGAGTTTTGGCACCGAAATGTTATCATATACTAAGCTTTGAGTGTAGAACAGATTTATGTAAATTTTGAAAACCTTACGTAAAATGGAGGTTCTGCCTACCTCAGGTCGGCATTAGTTGAGCGATTGCCCACCTTATTTGGAAAAAAAGTTAACCAAGCTTTTTAATCACATAAATATTCCATAGATTCTCATACTTAGTTCCTTAGTCCTCACTGCGAGTACACAGACCAAATTTCGTGCTTGGTAATGGGAAGTTTTCAAAAAAAAAGCTTGCCACAGCCTTCAGTAACTTTTCAGTTAATCCTACAGGCCTGTGTCTATTGTATACCGAGTTTTGTACCACATCGTCACCTGTGCTTTGTAACCGAGCCATTTACATTTCCACTCGCCAATTAGAGAAATTTCAGAAAACAAGCTTAGTACACCATTCAATCACATGAGTTTTTCATAAATTTTCATACCTTCCCCACTAGCCCATTTTCGTCATATAAGAAATTTGGTGCCATATCGTTACGCATGCAGTAAATGATATTCGTCGACGACTGCCTCATCTGATGCAATTACACCACCGTGGGGGTGCTTTTTTGGAGCCTTTCCAGCTTGAAGTAGGACAGGACAGGACAAGGAAAGGACAAAGATTGTCGAGAAACTCGACCGATATTTTTATAATTCGTATATTCTATTCCTTATTTGCAATGTAAGCGTTCAAGCGCAGCAGTCAGTCTTTTTTTGCATCCTTTTGCAGCTGCATGTATGAAAATGGAGTGAGAAATTTGCAGCTGGTAATCTCCTCCTTATGCTGAATAACGTGTCACTGTTTATTGTTTGCTACAGTTAGTCTTGATTTCTAGATTTACTCGGTATTAATGCCATAGCCACATCGACTTTCAGTTCGATTAGGCCAAAACATATCAAGTATTTTATCACTACCGTTTTGCCATAAACAGAATCTCATATGCTGGTACTATACTTCGCTTGCAATATCGTTTATTTGAATTTTATATTGTTATATTTGTAATTATTTTATATTTGTTAATAAAGGTTGAATCACCCAATTCTCCTCGTGCACAACTCCGTCACCCTAAAGACTCGCGTGGGGTCGCATTGTCAAGTGGTATTTGACGGTTATAGTACTGACTGTATATCTCCCTCAATCCATTACAGGTATGCTGCGAGTTACCAAGTCCCCGCGCGCTGCAGCGCACTGTCAAGCTGGAAAGTAGTAAGGCATGCCCAAGGTGGTGTTATTGCACGAGTCGGGGCAGTCGTCGACGATTATCCTTTAGTGCATGGTGTTCAAACTTGGTTAAGTGACGTCGCGCGTGCGACAATCAGCGACGGCGACGGCGCGATTTGACGAGAAAGCTCATTAGGATAGAGCCCAGAATCGTTGGCCATTCCAACTATCATTTTTACCAGCGCCCAGCACACTTGATCATTTGTCCCGCTCAAGGTTCCGAACCCCGCAGGCATTCTCTTTGCTTTATTCACCCAAAACCACTTCCAGCTTGTCATTTGCCCACTTGGTGCCGGACCTTGTTTGTGCATTTCGCTTATTGTGATTTAGATTCAAATTTATTTGCCTCTCATATTATTACAATATGTGGCACCCAAACAAATTGATCCATTCTTTCAACGTGAGTGATCTTGCTACTCTTTGCCAGTTGCAAGTGCCAAGCTTCTCCTGAAATACATCTCTCCATCTCATCCTCGGTCGTTCTACTGGACGCTGTTGAAATGGTCGCCATTCCAATAGTTCTCTTGACCATTTTATCTCATTTCTGTTGGCAAGTTTCCAAGCATAAATCCATTTCAGAATCGCAGGAAGAATACATGAATCAAACAATTTCCGCTTCCACTTCATTAGTTAAACAATTTCCGCTTCCACCTTGAAGGTCGCTGTTTGGTTATCCAATCCGCCTAAACCAACTCCTCCACTCAATCAGTCTGAAGATTATGGTACCCAAATCGGAGTTCTCTATGGTCTCGCCGTAACACGTGTACTCCCTACACACGTAACTCGGAAGACGTTCAACAACAGCCGAACAAGCTCGAGGACGAGCTTTCTGAAGGAATGGAGATGTCGGGACGCAGCTAAGCTCCGCCTGCTCTCCCGTGAGCTGGCCGAGAAGGTCAGACAGGAGCCAGTGACCCCCTACGACCGCGCACCGTAAGGCTGCTTAGTCAGTTTTCCCCCTTCCCCTTTCTTGTAATATATGTAGATAATAAAATATATATAATACCAAGCTGTACCGCTACACATCAAGCTAGGGCCCGTACACCCCTAGACTTGACAGATTGGTTTCATAACTTAGGGATCCAGTCCTCACGCTTGTGAATTTGATGTATTTGCAAGAAAGGATGTGGTCGATGCAATTCATAGTTTTACCGTCAGGTGAGTTCCAAGTCCATTTGCGGCCTTTACGAGTGAAAAAGGTAGACATTGCTCGATGGCTGTTTTCTTCACAGAATTCAATAATCGATTGTCTACGAGCGTTTCTCTCTGGCCCGTAGTAAACCCCCATCAGAGCATCTCGCTCAAGGCGGATCGGAGCTGATCTCATCGCGCCTCAGCACATGCCAGGGGAGCGATTGATTTGGAGCAGGTCACTTACTGGACATTCGCGTTTTCAAAGGTGGAACGTTTCTGCCATTTGTGCATTATTAGTCAAATGGATAAGACTAATGTGCAAGTGGCGGGGTCGTGGTTCGAGTGCGGCTAGCGGCACCATTTTTGCTGCTTGGCCCGGCAACCTTTGATAGCGGCCGCTATCGAAAAATCGATGATAGCCGCTATCAGAGATTTTCACCTAGCAAACAACAAGATAAAACAAATACACACTATTTTGGCATACATACGAGGAAAAAATACACTTAGCAAAAATAAATAGAAACGTAAATTCACATTCTTGTTATTTGAAGCGGTTCTTCGAAAAAAAAAACAAGCAACGACTGCAAGAAAATGCAAAAAAAAACTTTTTTCCGATTTCGTCGCGCGATCAGCTATTCATCGATCCTCACTCACTTAGGCGCCCGAAATTGTGCAATTTTGGGAGTTTTGCACCGCAAAAGAAAGTCATCTGTGATGTTTACTCGAGAGCAACTTACGGGGTTTTTCTCTGTGCTCTCCTCTTTAGCACAGTATTTACCTTATGTCGTCGCCCGGCTCATCTCCGATGACTCCGGTCGGGAGCTGATCTCCCTGCCGGGCTTCATCTGAACCTCACCTGTAGGGTGGCCTTGCATATTTACACCATGGAAAGTGGGCAGTCCTCATCTCACCCGACAAAGCCTCATATAAGTGTCTCAGGGGAGATCATCTCCCGTGACCGAGCTTTACTACAGGCCTCTGTGTTATATCCGCAGCATCCTACCGAAGTCTCGATATCGCTTATTCGTGTGCCAAGCTTTGCGTTAAAGTCTCCTAGTACAATTATATGTATTTCTGATTCGTTATTCTTGGTCTTCATGTGATAGGCTCTCTTGCTGTGGACGATGTTGTTTTGAAAAACGCACTCTGCTTGGTTCCATTCTTCGTCTTCGTAATCCTTGTCGTTTGTCTTGGAAGGTACGTAAGTTGAGAAAAATCTTATCGTGATTTTACCTATCTTCACATCCAAACTTGAGATTCTTTTACTTTCTCCAGTGAAGGTTGATATGTACGGTAAAATTCGTTCACTTACGAGAAAGCCTGTGCCGGAGGGACCTTGTGCGTGTTCAGGACCAGCATAGTAAAATCGATAATGTGAATGTGGTAGATCCATACATCCAGTTCCTTTCCAACGCAGTTCCGTTAGGGTCAATATATCGAGTCGGGTGTTCTTCAGGGCTTCCTTGCAGCTCTTGTAGTCGGACTTCGTTCGACAGGCGTCTCACGTTGACTGTTCCGATGTTTACACAGCGATTGTTGAATGGAACATTCTTGATCCTACTGTTCCGGGGCTTCCTGGATCAAGGGGTTCGACGTCCGGTAGGGTGGGGAAGAGTGGTCAAAATGACCGATCAGTCGAGCGACGTGTATAGGATGAACTCCAGCTTATTGTGAGAAACATCGATAAATAGAGCAGCGAAAAGTTCAAATATGTTGTATCATCCTGTTTAGTTGCGATAGTCTATTAGTTGTTGTCACTTTAGAGTACCCAAATTTTTCCGCTGGAAGCTTACTCTTAGTTAGGCACCTCGCACAGAGGCACCGTCCATCCTGAATTGAGGTCTTGAGCTTTGGCAGCATACGATAGTAGAGCCCCTACCAAGCGAATGCCCATGTCTAGGCGCAAAATGTCTTTGAAAGCAAGAAAATCGCTCTAAGCAACAACTTCTCCAGTAATACCAGCCTGTCCGTGCGTGCCATTACCGTTTCGGAGAACTCACCCGCTGGTTCTCAGGAACGGGGATTGTCGAGTTTTCAAACATTCTTGACTTCATGCTCGGAAAAAGCCCCAAAGCGACAAAAACAAAAAAGTCGAGATTTTGGGTGGACTGTGCCTTCAGTTTAGCATAGTTCATGGCTAGAACAAGTTGATTAATTTATTTCATCCTCCATTGCCTTAGAAGGGGATTTTGCTCAATCAATGAAACCAATGAGCGATGCTTTACCAGAAATGATTCAATCTACAGCCGGGCTCAGGCTCAAACAGGGATAAAAGTTCAGCCCCAATTTGAGCTACTGTTTCGAGGTGAGTTTCCACATCGCTTCATTGATAGGCTGCCTGCGTTCTGCATGGCCATAGTGGATAGGTGATATATGTGTAAGGAAAAATTGATTCCTTGTCGGTAATATAGAAGATGCCCTTATAACTCCCTTGCCCGAGCCCGATATAAGGAAGAAATAGTATTAGGTTGTCCGGAAATTAATGCCCGTTTTGAATTTCAACCGCAGTAAATCATATCCTTCTCACTTCTAAATAAGTTGCAAAGTACCATTCGATAGAGCAAAGCAAGCTCTACAAGATGGCTCTTTTGATTTTGCAACAGCTCTTATCCACCTCGAGTTCTAAGGTAAAAAGTAAAATGACCTCAGCTGCCCGAAAAATCGAGAAAAATCGTAACTCAGTCCATAAAAATCCTACAAAAATTCTTACTTGCTCACGTTAACAATATCCGCGTAAAACATCTATATACGCCTCTGCCGTATTTTTCCCTCTGTTAGAAACCAAGAAAACGGAAATTTTCTTGCATCTGCCAAAGTGATGCCGTACCGTCCCCACATAGGTAATTGTATACCACAAGCCCATAGAAGTACAAACTTAAATTTTCAGCTCTGTGCAGGCTTTAGTCCTCGAGAAATTTGAGTTTTAGCTTGCACCACCTAACTAGGGAAAGCTATATTCGGTATTTCTCGAGAACTAAAGCTTATAGAGAACTGAAAATTTACGTTTGTACTTCTACAAGTTTGTAGTATACAACTACCTATGTGGGGACGGCACAACACCACTTTGGCAAATGCACGAAAATTTCCGTTTTCTTGATTTCTAACGGAGGAAAATACGGCGAAGGCGTATATAGATGTTTTATGTGGATGGTGTTTACGTGAGCAAGTAAGAATTTTTGTAGGATTTTTATGAACTGAGTTACGATTTTTTTCGATTTTTCAAGCTGCTGAGTCTTTTTAGTTTTTGGCTCGAAACTCGAGGTTGATGAGAGCTGTTGCAAATTCAAGATGGCCCTCTTGTAGAGCTTGCTTTGCTCTATCGAATGTTACTTTGCAACCTATTTAGAAATGAGAAGTATATGACTTATTGCGGTCGAAATTCAAAACGGGCATTAATTTCCGGACAGCCTAATATAAAGAATCTGTTATTGATTATACGAGAAAAGAAAAGCTCAAAAGCTTACCTGGCTGACCATATGCATCCTTCGACTACGTCGCACTGCACTCAGCACTAAGGAATTTAGTATGATCAATAAACTAAATGGCAGCACATACATTACTATGGTGTAAGCCCATCCGAAAAATATATTCCTAAAAACTGAAGTTCAAGTTCGAAGTTTAGCGCAAACCCGTTCGTAATGGCGCCTCTGCAGAGACTGGTTTTTTTGAGTCACTCTCCAGATGGGGAGTCAGCGATGAGAAGCTTTCAATGCAGTACAGTGAACATGAACTCTTCATAAGCGATTGCATTTATCTTGCCGTAAATCAGTCCAAGGCAAAAGAGCCTTTCAAAGTTAGATTTGAACCTGACGCAATTACTACTAAGAAATTAGCTTTTTAAGCAAAACTCCAAAAATACAGTCAGCTAAGGGCTCCGTTATCGCATCAAAATTTCGCCATCTTCAACTTTATCTAGGCAACACCTTGAGGCACGCACCTATACAGATCGGAGAGTCGTAGCTCGGTCGGCTGTAATACAGGCATATAATGATTGATGTTGATTCGATAACATACGTTTGAAACATGAACCTTAATGTTTATAGTATTAGGGATGCATCACCAGTCACCAAAATTACCTCAAAAAAGCGTGTTGTGTTGAATAATATGCCGAAAACGACAAGGCTGATAATAAATGCAGTGACACGCTTTTTCGGCAACCATTCTACCGACTTATAAGGATGACAAACCCCAACGTAACGATGCACTGAGACTCCAACTGTCATGAAGACGCTATAACTTGGTATTTAAGACTATGGGAAATTTGTATACTTATTTACCTTATAGTTTGCGCCATCATCATGAGACCATACATATACGGAGCAACAGAATAGCTGAAAAAGTACCATTATAGAAGTGCTGCTAAAAAGTGCTTCTTATTAAAGGCAAGTGAGTAGGGGTGTTACTGCGTAATTTATTGAGGGTCCTAAAGTAATGGGACACTTCGAGAATAATTTTAATTTTCTTAAACAAAAAAGGGACTGGATGCTTAAGTTTTGGTAGATGTCATTACATAACAAAACCTGATCAAAGTCTACAGATCACATTGTCGCATGACGATATTCTTATAAGTGCTCAAATTTAAAGCTCGCTACTTCAAGTGATTTCGAGCTCCAAGCAGCACCGCCGCTAAGACAAGTGAGGTTACCAAAGATACCTGTGCCGCAATGGGTGAGGGGCCGTCATCAAACTCATGATGGCCTGGTGGTCCCAACGCTTTGCAACAGAAGGTATAACATTTTTAGGATACAAATACTCTTTTATTGGGGTAACCGCTTTTAAGCTTCATACATACCTGACGATCGAACTATAGCGGGTATTGGCAAATCCCTATTGTCTCCGCTGCTCCTAGTTGCGCGCATGGGTGCATTTTAGTTGCAAGAACAACACGGCGTTCGAAGGATTGTAGGTGATGTATTGTAAGGTGCTGCCAGTAATATGCAAGGGTCACTTTACACATCAGGGTCACAGAAGCTTTTAATTGCTGGTTGTCGATTATTAATAAACATAGAAACCTCTCATGTAGGAAAAACCACGGTGTCCCATTGCCTTTGGATCACCCAATATAATGAACTTTCTTTACTCCTTCGTTTTCCACTAATTCTATAGCGCAGCAAAGTGGAAGTAAACCGGTGAAAATTTGTTGCTTTTTGCTTAGTGTGCAAATGACTGATCGTTGCTCTAAAGAGATGCCATTAGTGGCATCCTTTTTGGAATGTCCAAGTTTCATAATCGAGTAACCAGGGCATGTTTTCTAAAAGGAAGTCGAAAAGTCACTTATCGGGTGTTGCAAAAATCAAATTATAAGCGTCTGCCAAAGATAGCGCATGGGTGCGTTGTTTTTACACAACTTGTTTTTCCCCGAAGCGTGTTAATCCAAACTGTTTTAGTAAGACATACCGAATATATTGGGTTTCGGGTCTCGATATGAAAGGCAGTTTGGTACGAATGGAGAGGGTATAGCATTTCCATTAGGTTGTCCCAAACCTTCCTTGCGCCGCATTTTCAAAAACTCATACTTTCGTCGTATCTTGATGGATTCTTTTGGCAGTAGTCCTACATAAAAGCACAGATCAAGCTCTTTACAACAGCGGACTTCAGGTGAAATATTAGAAGAGAAAATTCGAGGATAAAATCAATTGAACAAAATTACTCAAGATTCTCATTTTTCGAGCAGGGTTATGAGAATGTCTGGAAATATTTATGTTTGATAGAGGAAATCATGCTCTTTACTATAGTACCTTCCCCTTGAACTGAAACGAAATATATCGACAAATAAACAGAATTACTTCAGTTCATAGTTTGCCGTTTTGTTAATCAACATCTCGCAGAAAATTTAGAATTACCTATTACTTTTCAGCATGCAAAAAGATTCAGATTAAAAAATCTGATTCAGATGACCAATGTTAGGCAAAATTGGTCAAATTTGCTTTTACTATTTGTATTATTAGGTTGGCTCGAAAGTTCTGGGACATTTTCAGACAAGATCTGCTATTTTTCGAAACTTAATGCAGAGGCACCATTCGATAGACCAAAGCAAGCTCTACAAGATGGTATGCAAAAGTTCGGGCTAGCTTCGACTCACCGCAAGTTTGCATCCAGAATCTGAGTCTTATGAAGGTTTGAAAAATGAAGAAAAATTCACATGTTTGTTCAAATAAATCCTACGGGTCTCCAAGTTGCTCATACAGATTGCACACCACATCAGACACCCACATGTATCATTGCTGTATTTCTCCTTCATCTAGAAATTGAGAAAAAAATTTTCTTGTTCATACAAAAACGAAACTACGTTGTTTCCGCTTACGTAATTGTATAGTACAAGCCCTTCAAAGTATAACCGTAAATTTTCAGCTTTCTACAGGCCCTAGTTCCCGAAAATTACCGAATTGAACTCTCCTCACTCGAGTATTCCATGCTAAAATCAATATTTCTCCAAAAATAGGGCCTATAGAAAGCTGAAAATTTACGTTTATACTTCCAAGGGCTTGTGCTATATAATTATTAGGTTGAGTCAAAAGTAATGAGAACTTTTAGCTCCCCATTTCGAACTTTCCGCAACTCGTGTAGAATAGCGATGGAAGAGTACCCCGAATTGTATGAAACGTTGCTTTTCTTTCACTTCTCAGCAGTGAGGCCAGTTGGCTTCTTAATTGTAGAAAAAATTTCCCAAATTTTTAACCCGTCATTTTTGCTTTCCTTGAGTTTAGCTAATCCTCAGAATTTTCAGTTTGAGGTTTTCGAACAAATTCGATAACATAAAGACAAAGCAGGCCCTGCTTGATGCAAACCACTATTTAGGTATTTCGAAACTAGCATTTTGAGGCCTTTTAAAATCATTTTTGCAAAAGCCAAATTTTCAAAAAATGGCTCTAAACAAAAATGCGTTAAACCCTACAAAATCTTTTGAATTTGAGAGCTTAAAATAGTTTATCATCAAACCTTGATTATGCAAGGTAATCAAGCGTTAACCACTTCAAATTACCACAATCTAGAATCTTTTGACAAGTTCGAAAAAACCATAGATTTTGAACGAAAAACGCTTTGTGTTCAAAATTTCTGCGAATATTCTAGCAATTACAAAGTGATTTGTTTGAGAATTATATCCATCGGAAAGAGAAAGAAAAACTGCGTCGAACACCGTTTAGAGCACTTGCTTATACATATTCAATCTATTTTGAGAGTAGGTTTAGAAAGAGATGCGATGTTCTCATTACTTTTGACTCACTCTAGTACATGGTGGGGATAGCATAGCTTCGTTTTTGTATGAACATGAAAATTTTCATTTTCTTGATTTCTAAATGAGAAAAAAAAATACAGAAACGGTACATATGAGTGTATAATTTGGTATGCAATTTACTTGAGCAAGTTGGAGATCCGTAGATTTTTTTAAACGAAGATGTGATAATTTTCCTTTCGAGCCTTCAGTACGACGCAGATTCTGGATGCAAACTTACGGTGGGTCGGAGCTGGTACGAACTTTTGCACACCACCTACTCAGACAATTGCATCGGAAAGTTCGCGGCCTCAAAGCGTGTTACATGGAGCGCCGCGGCCCTTGAAATTTCAGCCCCGCACGCCGCGGCCCATGTATATTTTACCGGGAACACCGCGGCCAAAGCTGAAATTGGGAAGAGATTATCGGGAGGATCGCGGCCCAGTCGGCGTGCCGCGGGCCTTATCAAAGGCCGCACTTCTTACACGCTGTAGGGTAAGGCGCAACCTGCGTGAGGTACGCCGCAGCGTTGGGGCTACCCTAAGTGTTTAAGAAGCTGGGTATCACCTCAGATTTAATCCTGTCTGACAGAATTGGGTTTTCATGATTATGAAATAAACTTCAGCAGTCAGTTGACCGTTATCGACGACACTAGATGATGTCGACAGATGGGCTAACGAGTTGCTCAGTTTGCACTCAAGTCGTCATTCTGAAAGACAGATTAAATAGTTTTTCACTCTTCCTATTACAAGCATGCTAATCGGGTCAACTATAGGCGCCTAACGGGCACTTACAGGATGTGCCGCGGTCACTTATCGGGTCTAATATATGGGTTTACCGGGCAGCTCGCGGCATGGATGATTGGTGGTCGGACAAGCACCCGCGAACTTCCCGATGCAATTGTCTGAGTAGTAGAGCTTGCTTTGGTCTATCGAATGGTACCTCTGCCGGATGTGCATGCATTAAGTTTCAAAAAATAGCAGATCTTGCCGAAAATATCCCAGAACTTTCGAGCCAACCTAATATAAGCAATACATCACAACATAATTTCTCTATCGTTTTGATCTGATGGTCTATAATCAAATGACGTATTCTAGAAATCCATCTTCAAAAAAGATCTCTTCTCCATCTTTCTGAGCGCAGTAAAAGCCATTGCGAACGGCAAATGTTTGGCAATACAACACTCATTTTTGTATTGTAGCCACTACGAAAAAGATTTTCTAGCACAAGTATTGCCACAACTTTTTTTGAAACAGTGCAAGGAAGAATTGCTCAGATCTACTACGACAGTGCGAATTTTACTCATTGAATATTCGGTGAGCAGTGGAGTAAAGGCTGGATTGGAATTAGAAATATTGCGAAAAATCGAAAAGTACCCACTCCTTCCGACATTTTGAAAAGGGCGTGGAAATGCTTTTCCATCATTAACTTGCTAGGTCTATTCTGCAAACGCTTTTTGCCTAAGATTTTTAAACAGCATAGAATAGCCTCAGCGATCAAGCCAATTTTTTATCGAAACTTAGCTTACGATTTTGAACGGCTAACTTTGGTAAGCATTTTATAGAGCAAAACCTCGCAGTTATTACGACACTGCAACTAATCCGAACATTTCTTCTGAATTGGAGCAAAGATGGTAAAGGAAAGAATTATAAGTTTTCGTCTCTTATTTATGAAGGCTTATATCGTCGATTCCCCGCGATAGATGGGGCGTGTCACTGCACAAGTCCGTAGGTGTCCGTAATTGGTACGGTATTAGCTAGCGCAGAATCGATATTACCAAACAGCTGATCATTTTCCGACTCAACTACGTTAAGTGGGTTTTTTTGCAACTAATCGTGCTTTTTCTTTTCAGATTTCGAAGGGAGCTGCTAGAATTGAGTCGTAAATGTTCAATTACACTTGTTTTATGGTAGGTACTCAGTTTTGAAGCATTGCCGGTGCGGTTTTTGCATTAACTGTATATTTTGTGCTATTACATCTTCTTTTTTGCTTGTTAATCATGTTTGTCTTTTACTACTTCATCCTTTATCGAAATTGGAGAACAATGTAATTTTCAACACTGGGATTCGCCTTCGAATCTCAAACTGAACAAGACAACATAAACATGAAGTGCGGGTA